TCCTCCCAATCTTTTCCTTGACACATAAAGGTATTTTTTCTTAACTATGTTCATGATGTAGATATAAATTTATTTTTTCACTTAATGCCTTTTTCATATAAACATTTTCCAAATAAATATCTCCTGTAGCCATCGTTTTAATTCCTGCATAATAGTCAATTGGAAACATCAGTTTCCAATTATTTTCCATGGCTGGACATTGTTTTTTCAATATTTCAATATATTAAATAATGTACTAAAGTGCATCTTTGCTGCTTAAAGTTGTCATGTGATTCAAATTTGGAAAGTCAAATTGATATCATTAATTTGTTCACTGGATAGTGTTTCCTTACTTGACCATAAGCTGTTTGAGAATAAGTATTGCATTTTCTCATCTCTGTACCCAGCTCTGCTTTGCATATAAAAGGTAGCCAGAAGGTGTTTATTGAGTTCAATTAAATATACTTCCTACTTTGATAGTTTTCTACTCTGTTTTGGACGGAACTCAATTAGTTGGCAACCATCAATAGATAGAAGTTCCCAAATATCTGCTAATGTTAGAGGCAAAAAATATGACATTTTTTGAAATGTAATGAATTGCATGTTCTTGCTTAGCTTGATACATAATATTTTTTACAGGTTGCATTTCTACCACCTAGGAATTTAGTATGAATTAAGAGTAGGCATGAAAATGGGAATTTTAGATGCAGCACTCTATCTGGCAACAGATTACGTTAACAAAGGCCAGAGTTAAACCTTACTATGGCAAGACGTTTTTGTCTAATGTGTAAAAATATGCACACAGAATGTTTTTACAACTAAATGCAAACTGGGATCAGTGATCATTTAGATAGATGATAAATAAATAGACAGTAGGTAATTTTCCAGATGCCTATGTCTTCTCTGAAACAACTTATAAACAAAAAATAGAAGCATAAATCTAGGCATACAAACTAGATTCACATTAATATCAATTGCTATTTATTTATTTTGGCAGAGACTGGCTACCTACCTACTAACCCTATTTTATCTTCTTCATAGCCATGTAGCTAAACTACATTTTCCTGCCTCCTTTGCACTTAGTTGGGTGTGTCCACATGACTGAGTTCTAACTGATGAAACATGAACAGACATTATGAGTTTATTGTTGGGTCTGGTTTATGAAAACCTCAGTATTATGATCCTCTTCATCTTTTTTCATATCAAATGGAAAGGACTTTAAAGACCTAGAAGAGGAAGGAGCCACAAAATAGAGCTTGAGTCCCTCAATGTCTTCAGAGAGCAGAACTAATAAACTTCTATTGTTTTAAGTCACTGAGATTTAAGGGTTTATCTGTTATAGAAGCTAGTAGAAATTTATATTTCTTCATTTCCAGAGTGTTCCAGAAGGGATTTAAGACAGCTATCTTGTCTGCACAGCTTTAAGTAAGAAAGAAGCTAAAATGTCTAGATGCATTCAGCACCGACTAATTAAAACCAGGTAATCTCCAGAGAGATGCTCTTTTGTTCATGAATAACCACACTTGAAAGAGTCCAGTTTTTCGTGGAACAATAGATAAAATTCAAGAATCTGAAAGGGAAGCTACTTAACAGAATTCTCCTCCAGTTGATATTTTCCCAAGTAAACTTTAGTAACCTTAGGAAGGAGAGGTAGTTGTTCTCTGTGGGCACACATTCAATCAGAAGGGCCTAGGTGGGTTTTGAAGCCTGAGCAATTATCACAGAAGGCAACCAAACTTTCTTCGACCCAAAGTGAGGCACGCATTTCTTTTTCTTATTTTAAGTCATGGGATACATGTGCTGAATGTGCAGGCTTGTTACATAGGTATACGTAACAAGCCTGCACATTCAGCACATGTATCCCATGACTTAAAATAAGTGCCATGGTGGTTCACTGCACCCATCACCCATCTTCTAGGTTTTAAGCCCTGCATGTATTAGGTATTTGTCCTAATGGTCTCCCTTGACTTTCACCCCAAGCCCCGACAGGCTCCAGTGTGTGATGTTCCCCTCCCTGTGTCCTTGCGTTCTCATTCTTCAGTTCCCACTTCTGAGTAAGAACATGCAATGTTCAGTTTTCTGTTTCTGTCTTAGTTTGCTGAGGATGATGGTTTCCAGCTTCATTCATGTCCCTGCAAAGGATATGAACTCATCCTTTGTTATGGCTGCATAGTACTCCATGGTGTGTATTGAGGCATGTATTTCGTAGCTCGTCCTAACTATCTTTAGAGGAACTTAAGCAACTTCTTAGCAGAAATTTTTGTGCTGGGTGCGACCACCTCAGTTGTTTTCAGCTATAATATAAAATACTTAACAGACCTTAACATCTACCTTAATAGATTAATACATTGCCTCCAGATTACATATCTTCTCTGTGGCTACTTATATCACAAAAGGTTTTCAGTACTTCCTGCAGTTGAGAGATTTTGTGTCATACCATGAGCAACATTTCCTTTTCTCTAAGTAGTGATGATTAAAGTATAGAGCTCTGACTTTGTGTACACAATCACATTTCATTCACACAGTAACCCTGTAGGACAGTTATTACTATTCTCATTTTAAAGGTAAGAAGACTGAGAATAACAAAGGATTAGATTTAAACACAGTTTGATAATTGCATATCTTTAAGCCATTACCCTATACTGCCTTACAGATTAGGAGCATTTCACATCACATTTGTGAGGCCAACAGGCGTCTTAAGCCAACTTCCCTTTAATTAGTAATATTAATTTCAAAGAGACAAGCCTCAAAGTTAGAGAAAAACACTTGCATCATTAAAAATTTTAAGTAGAATAGGCATACTGTATATGTCCAAGAATTTCTACATAGGCCAAAAGGAGATTCAGAATGGTAGAAGAGCAAATAATTTGCATTTCAAAGAGACCAAAATAAACACAAGAACAGAGGGCTCTCCAGTTTCAGGAAAGATCAAACAGAAACTATTAATTAATGACTTAGGACAGGCTTTGGTGATTGTTCACTAGTCACTTGAATACAAGATGAATTCATGTTTTCAAATAGATACAGTCCAGTGGAAATCAGGGGAAAAGATACCAAAGCAGAGCCCAGAGAGAAAATAAGAAAATTTTGTGTGTGTGTGTGTGTGTGTGTGTGTTTTTAAAAGGAAGTGTTACTGAACAAAAATCTGCTTTTTAAAATAGTTATAGTTGCTCTGTATTTGCAATGAGAGGTATTTCAGTGATAATGTATGAGAAAGCATGAGAGAATTATAGGGTAAAAGTTAAGAGCTCAAAAAAAACCTGAATTTAAAAAATAGGCAAATGATGTATCAAGCAATAAAAGTTCTTTCCTCTTCTCCTGAAATCAGGAGAAAATTGCTTCAACAGGATTATATGGAAATGTTAATAGTCTTTGCCTGTAGTTAAAGATACATCATGACTTCTAACTCCTTCCTGGCTAATCTAGAAAACAATTAGGCTAGATATCCTCTTTTGTGTTGTGGTAAAAAAAAGTTGCTGCTGTATTGGGACTGCTCTGCATTTCCAGAGTTTTTTTGGGCAAATGAGTTTTTTCCATTCCCTTGAAGGCAATATACATGAGGGAGGTCCTTTATAACAAGGCCACCTAGAAGACCTCTGTTATAAGACCTCTGTAAATAAGGTATTCCTAGAGACTATGGAATAACTACTCAACAAGCCAGAATAAAGATTCACTCATTCAGATGAAAAGGAACTACGCAGGGGATAGCCCTTAATGGTGGATCCTGAAGAACCCCCAGAAACTGCTTCACAAAAGGAGTGAGCTTTAAAATTCCCCAGTCCCAGAGAACACTAAGTTATCTATAGCACAGTTCCAATCAGATAACAATTTTCTTGATCTTCTTACCACCCCTGAATCGAGACAATAGAGGAAAAGAATAAAGATGCTATCTGACTATATCGCCTGCTCAATTTACTAGTTGTATGCCCATTTTATATCAATTTACATCAATTTCATTGCATTAAATCATATTAACAGCTAATTCAGCTACTTTTTATACAGATAGAATCTTACATTGTCTTTAAAGGCTTCAAACCAAACAGTAATTGACAGCATGTATCAGTCCCTAGCCTGGTAACTATAGACCAAAATACTATCTTCAGTTACCTCCAGAACTGGTCATCTGCAAATGACTAATCAAGAGGTATCTACAGTAGTGGGTAACTGTCTGCCTACTTGCCTGAGCCACTGAGTAATTTTATTATTATACCTGTAAATTTTAACACATCTGATGCTCTCCAAGCCTGGCTTTCATTTTGGCTATTTTCATTTCGCCTTGAATATTCTCTAAGTTGAGCCTGAATATTGAAAGTTTCCATCCCTTCCTTACCAAAAATAAGTAGAGAGAAACAGGTAAAATGCAATGCTCTGGAGGATAATTAGAAATCATGTATAAAGCTATATTTTATTTCTGTTGAAAGAGAGTTCAAATCCAGTGTTTCCTGCCAGGTCTGGGACTTTGGGCTAGATCTCAAGTTGGCTTGAAAACACTTAGTTAACCGTGGTTGAGTTTCCAGACTTGCTCATATTAAAATTGATTTAATTTTCAAATGTTTTATATGTTTTATACAATTTTCACAACTCTTCTATATCTGATTTTCATGGAGACCAGGATTTCTGAAGTTACAGTTGTAGACATCTGGAAATTACAGCCTCAGATGTATTTTGGACAGCATTATTCTTTAAAAGCTTTGCTTTCTTTTTTTTAACCCCTACCCCAACCCACTCCTCACCTACTCCTCTCCATTTGGGAAATAGCTTTACTGAATTTAAAAAAAAATTATCGTTAGATAGCCTGAAAGTTTAAGAGATTCCTGTGCTATCCATTTATTGTTTTGAGCCCTTGTTCAGTTGCCAGGGAACTAAATTAGTCATAGAATTTCCAAGCTAAGCAATTTATCATTACCTTAACCATCAAAGCAGCTGTTTCTCCTAAACTTTCTTTTCAAACAACATACAACCACCATGATCTCCTTCCTCTCTTACTTGTGTTTCTCCATTTTACCAGTCTCTTCACTCACCTTATCACTGTATCATCTGTTTGAGGACATCTTTCTGCAGTGTTCTCCTGTCTTCAGAGGAAATCCATGCCTTTATTTGGTTTTCTTTCAATCCTGACAATTACTGCTTCAACAAACCAAATCATTATCCTATACAAAATAAAATTATAGCTATTATTTATGTGCTAGGCACCATATACACCATCTTTAATGCTCACAGTTATTCTGTATTATCAAAAATTCACAGAGGAGATAGTGAGAATCATAGACATAGATGAATGTGTTCTATAGTTAACAAATGTCAAAATTAGAATTTGGGCCAGATATGAGTGAGCTCAAATTTTTGCTGTTTCAGCTCTTTTATGTTGCTTCTTTAAGTCTACTTCTTGATGTTTTGATGTGTGTTTCTTACATAAATAGAATAAGTGGGGGATAAATACCCAGCATACAAAAAATGTGTAAGTATAAAAATATCCAACTTCACATGCTAGGTTTTAAAAGGTACTAATCATTGTGCTTAAGAATTCCTTGGATCAGAATTAATGGAAAGGCCCTAGTCAACTCCCTATGGATTTCAGTTTCCTGCTTTATTCCAAATGAAACAAAGTTCATCTTGTGAAACCTTGGTCACAGTTGGACATTATGAGCAAACTTTGATTGTCAGACTTCTCCTGACTGTGAAAGCTAAATGGAGTCAGCAGTTTGCCTTCTGGGCTAAAACTGAGAAATATTTGTGAGAATAATAATAAAGCACAACATTCCTCCACCGTTTCTAGGCTAATCAAAAAATTGATGAGATATAGCCCCAAATTATCCACTTTTGCCTAGCTAAAGGACATTATAGAATGGGCAAGGAGTTCCAGATGTATAGACACCTCACCTGCAGGAGGCTTGCTAGATATTTATCCACCCTTCTTTTTTTGGCAGTCCTTTTCTTTGGAGCTGAAATTCATCCACCTTAGTTGAGCTCCTTTTTAGTTAAGTTTTGGCCATGATCTAGATACTGTCTTCTATGGCAGATATACTTAGAGCCAAATTAAGGAATGTAAGCAATAAACAAACTTTCTCTTAACCACTGCTGAAATAAATCAGAAATAAGATGCCAACTGTTTCTTTATTTAACTGGTAATAAGTTGATTGGGAAAATTCTGCAAAGGAAGACAGTACTCTACAATGGAATTTATAAAAAACGACTCACACTTTACCATCAATTCAAAAACAAACAGTAAAGCATAAAGCATATTATGAAATTTTTAGGTTGAACATAAAGAGTCATCTGATTACAAATGCAAATCTGTTTCCCTACCCTATCAAAGAAATTCTAAAAGCTATTACAAAAAATATTTTTGAGGAGTGGTATAATCATTAATCTGCCCGGGACCCCACACATCTTGGTCTAGTGATGAACACATTTGAGGGAACCAGGAATTCCTCCGGCTGCTTTAAGTTCTCCATCTCAGTGAAGGACACCAGGTCTCACTTCATTGTAAAAAAGTGTAAACAATCTTCGCTTCTCCTCTCTTAGTGAAGCAGTTCTCTTCTGCCTCAGAATACCTCTTGAATTTGTCCATTTACCCAACACTACGCCCAGGACCCTGAGAGTAACCACTATTTTTTTCTGACTTGAATTAACACAACAGTCTCCCGAGTTATCTGCTTCAAGTCTTTCCCTTCTGTGAGTCTGCTTTTCATGTTGGATTCAGATTAATCTTTCCAAAATGTAAATCTGATCATATCACTCTTTTGCATAAAACACTTTAATGGCTTGCCATTGCTCTCAGGATAAAGTGTAAACAGCTTATCACAGTTTATAACCCCCTTGCAAATCGTTCCTCTAATTACCTCTTCAGCCTCTTTTCTCTCCTCAGTTTTTGTTCCAACCATTCTGAATGACTTTGTCTCCAATTATAGAGTGTTTTTAATTGTTTCCATGCCTTTGCAAACACTATTCTCTATGCCTGTACCTCTCTCCACCAAGGATGAGGGGAGAAGTGTAAATGGAAATATGTTGTTGCAGCGCTCCTATATTTTATTTGAAACAATTCAATATTAAAGTAGACTGTGATGAAAATGTACAGATGCTCCTTGACTTATGATGGGTGGCATCACAATGAACCTATTATAAGTTAAAGATATAACATTGAAACTGCATTTAATATACCTAACATCCCTAGCCTACCTTAAATGTGCTCAGAACACTTACATTAACCTAAAGGTAGACAATATCATCTAACAAAAAGCCTATTTTGTAACAGTATTGAATATCTCATGTAAGTTATTGAATACTGTACTGAAATGGGAAAAAAGAATGGTTGTATGGGTACTCAAACTATAGTTTCTACTGAATGCATACTGTTTTCACATCATTGTAAAATTGAAACATTATAAATCAACCATTATAAATTGGAGACCATCTGTATACTTCAATCCCTAGAGGAATAAATAAAAATAAGATAAAACGTAAATTAAAAAGTGAAAAGAGGAATTGAAATACAAAACTAAAAAAATCAGAGGGAATAAGGCAAGAAAGGAGAAAGATGGAACAAAAAATGCAAGGGACAAATAGACACCAGATAGCAAAATGGCATCCTTAAGTACAACCATGTCAATAACTATATTCAATGTAAATGGTCTAAGCAATATAATGAAAGGCAGAGATTATGAGACAAGATCCAAAAGAAAGAACTAACTCAACATGTATGCACAAAGTGAAAAAAGAAAAAAAGATACACCACAAAAACATTGTTTAAGAAAGCTAGAGTGGCTATTTTAATCATTTAAAATGTCATACCACAGTTTGTGTGTTACAGATGACTCAATCACTGCCTAAGGAAAACAGCATTAAGCTATACTGTTATACTGTGAACCGGGCAAAGGGTACTTGCTGTGGGGAAATTACTGCTGCAAGATAGAGAATCCTCAATGGCAAAGCAAATATTGTCTGTTTAGATATGTCTCAGGTCATCTTTTATTATTATTTCACCTCTGTTGCCAGGAAGGCTGCAAGTGCGTTTCCAGCGGACTGTGAATACTGAAACATAATTGTTTGAAAATAGTTTCAGCTAAGATTTCCTAACCAGGACTCTGTTTCTCAGCATATTAGACTAGAAGAGAAACCAGATTTTAACAGCTTGTCTTTTTAAAAATCTTAATTCCAAAATGGAAGGAAGCTGGTTGTTCTTGTGTTCTCTTGAATATACTCCTTTTAATCATATATTTCAATATCCTATTTCTGAAATTTTGAAATTTGAGGAATGAGCAAAATGAAATAAACCCCAAAATATTATCTCAATGAAGATGACTTAAAAACAAGGGGCATTGCTAGAGACAAATATGAACTCTTCCTAATGATAAATGATTGATACATCAGAAATTCAACATGTGCTTCATATCAGAGCTTTAACATACATGAAACCAAAATGTATAGAAGTCAGGAAGATACAGACAAGTTCACATTCATAGTTAGAGATTTTAATAATACCCAAGTCTCAGAAATTGCTAGTGTAGCTAAAAGTTAGCTCTTACTAATTTTACAAGAGCTGAACAACACAGTCAACCACATTAAGCTTAATGACTTTTAAAGACTTAAACCTAAGATCTAAAACCATAGAAACCCTAGATGAAAACCTAGGCAATACCATTCAGGACATAGGCATGGGCAAAGACTTCATGACTAAAACACCAAAAGCAATGGCAACAAAAGCTATCTAATTAAAATAAGGAGCTTCTGCACAGCAAAAGAAACTATCATTAGAGTGAACAGGCAACCTACAGAAAGGGAGAAAATTTTCGCAATCTACCAATCTGACAAAGGGCTAATATCCAGAATCTACAAAGAACTTAAACAAATCTACAAGAAAAAAGCAACCCAATCAAAAAGTGGGCAAAGAATATGAACAGACACTTCTCAAGAAAAGACATTTATGTAGCCAACAAACATATGAAAAAAAGCTCACCATCCCTGGTTATTAGAGAAATGCAAAGCAAAACCACATTGAGATACCATCTCATGCCAGTTAGAATGGTGATCATTAAAAAATCAGGAGACAGATGCTGGAGAGGATGTGGAGAAATAGGAAAACTTTTACACTGTTGGTAGGAGTATAAGTTAGTTCAACACTGTGGAAGCCACTGTGGTGATTCCTCAAGGACCTAGAAATAGAAATACCATTTGACTCAGCAATCCCATTACTGAGTATATACCAAAAGGATTATAAATCATTCTATTATAAAGACACATGCACATGTATGTTCACTGCAGCACTGTTCATGATAGCAAAGACTTGGAACCAACCCAGATGCCCATCAGTGATAGATTGGATAAAGAAAATGTGGCACATATACACCATGGAATACTAGGCAGCCATAAAAAAGGATGAGTTCATGTCCTTTGCAGGGATATGGATGAATCTGGAAACCATCATTCTCAGCAAACTAATAAAGGAATGGAAACCAAACACCACATATTGCCATTCATAAGTGGGAGTTGAACAATGAGAACACATGGACACAGGGAGGGGAACATCACACAACAGGGCCTGTTGGAGGCTGGGGGTGGGATAGCATTAGGAGAAATACCTAATGTAGATGACAGGGTGATGGATTCAGCAGACCACTAAGGCATATGTATAACTATGTACAAACCTGCACATTCAGCAAATGTATCCCAGAACTTAAAGTATAATAATAATAAAAACAATTCTATACAAACTCTTTAGGAAAAAGAGAACAAGAAATTAAGGAATACTTATCTACTGGTTTGGTAAGGACTGTATTGCAGTAGTCTCCCCTTATCCACAAGGAGTAGGTTCCAAGTTCTCTGGTGGATGCCTGAAACTGCAGATAGTACCAAACCCTGTAAATACTGTTTCCCTGTGTATACTCACCTATGATAAAAATTACTAATAAAATGGAACAATTATAAAAAATATACTATAAGAAAAGTTATAAGAATGTAGTCTCTCTCTCACTCTCCTTTAAAATAACTACTGTACTCACCTTGTTTTGGACCATGGTTGACCGTAACAAACCACAGAAAGCAAAATCATGGATACGGAGGGACTGCTGTACTCTGATACTAAAAGTAAACAAATACATCACTAAGAAACTAAAAACTAGATTAAAATTCTCATAAAACAGAAAAGTTATTGACCAAATATTAACAGAAAAATTCCAAAAAAATTAAATACAATGATATTCAATAAATGACAAAGTAGGGTTTAATCCCAGAAGTGTGAGGTTGATTTAATCTTCAAAAATTAATCAGTATGACTTCCCATATTAAAAGAATAATGGAGAAAAACATTAAGATCATCTCTATGGATACAGAAGAGCATTTTTTCATTCAGTACTCACTTGTACTTTTAAAAAATCTTAGTTAACTGAGAAAAAAAACACTTCCTTATCTTAACAAAGGTCATCTATGAAAAACCCACAGTTAACATCAAACATAATGGAGAAAAAACAATTTTCCCATTTGACATTGTATGAGAGGTACTAACAAATGCAAAAGATGCAAAGAAATAAAGGATACAAATTAGAAAAGAATGAAACTGTCTTTATTTGTAGATGACAATATATTTTTTGACGGAAATGAAAGAATACCTAAAGATACGAAGATAGTGCAACATTCATGGATGGGAAAGTTGTTCATTGTCATAATATTGTTTCTCCAGAGATTTACTAATGAAATCAACACCATTTTTTGCCAATATCACAGAAAATTTCTTTAGAAATTCTCAAGTTGATGCTAAAATTTACAAAGAAATTCAAATGATCTAGAAAAGCCAAAGGACTTTTTGAAAAGACAACAAAAATAGAATGACGAATACCATCTGATTTCAGGAGTTAAACTGATGATAAAAAGCTATAGCAACCAAGAGAGCTGTACTGCTTTAACAGACATATAAACTGGTGGAGCAGAATAGAAAACAGAAATAGAGAGGTACATATACGATCAACTGATTTTTGACAAATATCCTCAAGTAACTTAACAGGAAAAGAAAAATATTTTTTAAATTTATTTTTATTTATTTATTTATATTTGTGTAGAGACAGGGTCTCACTGTCACCTATACTGGAGTGCAGTGGCAATCACAGCTCACTGCAGCTTCAAACTCCTTGGCTCAAGCAATCCTCCTACCTCAGCTTCCTGAGTATCTAGGAGTACTACTCAGGTGCATGCCATCATGCCTGGCTATTTTATTTTTTTATTTTTGTAGATAGGGGAATCTTGCTACGTTGCCCAGGCTGATCTCAAACTCATGGCCTCAAGCCATTCACCCACCTCAACCTTCAGGAGTGCTGGAATTACAGGGGTAAGCCACCACATCTGGCTAGAAAGGGAAGTCTTTTTAAGAAATAACACTCTAAAAACTAAATCGCTGTAGGAGAGAAAAAAAAATCTTCATTGCTACTTCTGCTATACACAATTAATTCAAAATGGATCATAGATTTGAATGCAAATAATAAAACAAAATTTTTAGGAGAAAATCTTCAAGACACTGGTATAGGCAAAGGTCTCTTAAATAGAACACAGAGGCTAAATCATAGAAGGAAAAACATGTTAAAATAGATTTAAATTTTAAAACTTCTGCTCTTTAAGAAATATGAAGGAAGAGGTAAACCACAGATAAGCATAAAATACGCATAATATATTTAATAAGGAACCTGTATTTATAATATATAAATATTTATTTCTCAATAATTTAAAAAACAAAAGTGAGCAAAATGTTTAAAGATAAAACATACCAAAGAATCTACATATATGGGCGATAAGCAGACAAAAAGATGCTCAGCATCACTAGTTATGAGGAAAATCCAATGAGAAAATATAGTCCCACTAGAATGGATAACATATAAAATATGGTCAATTTTCATGTTGGAGGCGATACGGAACACATGAAACTCTCTTGCACTGCTGGTGGAAATGTTGGATGGTATAATCTCTTTGGCAAAACATGTGCCTGTTTCTTATAAATACTATACATATTCCTACCCCATGACCTATAACTTTAATGTCTAGGTATATATTTTTAAAAATTAAAACATAAGTATACACAAAGACATCTATATTAATAGTCATAGCAGCTCTTAGACACAGCCCAAGTTTCCAAAAATAGTTGAATTGATAAGCAAGTTGTTGTGACAAAATGGAAAACTACCAGACATAAAAAAGAACAAACTACTGTTACATGCAGCAATATGGTTGAAACTCAAAAACATTATGCTGAGTGAAAGATGCTGGATATAAGATTATGTATTATATGATTTCATTGAAATTAAAATTCTATAAAATGAATACTAATCTATAGTGACAATGCAGATCAGTGCTTGCTTTAAGCCAGTAACAGAGGTTGGGAAAGACCAAAAAGAGGTAAATATTATAAAATTACTGAATTTTCTTCTAGAAGGTACATGTTTTCTTCTTATATTTGAATCTTTAATTCATCTGGAATTTATTTTGTTGGAAGAAGTAAAGTTAGTATGCAAATTTTCCCACAAAGTATCAATCCAATCATTTGTATTTTTCTCACTGACTTAAAATGCTATCCTTTAATATACATAGAGTTTTCAAATATATTTAGATATAATTCCTGTTTTTGTTTTTTTGGACTGTTTATTTTTGTGTCAATAGCATGCTGGTTTATTATATTTGTATCTTATGTTTGAATTTTTATCTTATATTTGTATCTTATGTTTGAATGCATTGTATGGTAGGTGTTTTCATAGTTTTATTTAATGTTTCTGATTATTTTCATATATATTTTCTTCCAAATGAATGTTAGAATTACTTTTCCAAGCATAAAACATTATTCTCTGTAATGTATGTTCTATGGAAAATGAAATTCATGTTTTTGTAATATTTAATCTGTCTAGATACATAGTATATGTCCCTCTTTCAGTAAGTTATTTTGATTATTGATAGGGTTTAACTAGTTGTCATATTAGTCCTATGTATTTCTTATTAAGTCTATACTAAGGAATTTGATGTTTTTCCAAGATGCCATGACTGAAATAATTTTTACAATAGTATTCTAAATGGTTTGTGTAGACAAGATAATTTCTAAAATATTATATATTTATTTCATAGTATGCTAATGCACATATTCTATTGTTGTAATTATTTTAGTTGATTTCCATTGGTTTTCATGATACACATTAATTTGATCTATGAATAATAGTTTTGCCATATATTTTCCAAAAATTATAACTCTTATTTTCCTATCTAACTGATTTGCTAGCACTTTCTGGGTTTTTGCCTTGTTTCCACATTTGGAGGAAAATTTTCTAGTGATCTAGTGATTCACCATTATGTTTGATCCTACTTGTTATTTTTTATTCATAAATATGCTTAGATGTAGACATAGATATATAGGTCAACACTGTAATTGGATAATTATTTTCTTACTAATTCTTCCTTTACAGTTCAGAAATGAATGTCAAAGTTTATGAAGTCTTTTTAATCTAAAACCATTGTTTCAAGCTACTTAACCTTAAGTGAAGTATGGTATTTCTGGATAAAGTGTACCCCTGAGAACCCCAAGTTGAAAAACAGAGCTCAATAATATACCTCTTATTATTCAGTTGAGTTCAGTGTCTGCTAAACTATCCACATTTAAAACACACTCATTGATGATCTCACTTGTATCTATTTAATTTCACTTTAAGAGGTCCACTGAGTTTGTTTGAATTTGAAAGAGGGTAGTTCATTTATCATTTAAAGGTGATTTTTTCTGAAAATTATTTCTTTTCCCATTGCTAAGTATTTATCTCAAAATCATTATTAAAGGGCATTTTTATTATAGTCATCCTGTACCTTAATTCTGTCTCATTCCTATGAGAAGCACAAAAACAATACAGGGAGGATGTATGAGGACCTTTTGTTTGCCTCAAATAAGAAAATCTCTTCATAAATTAAAATATGCTGAATTATGAAAGATGCATATGTTAAAAGTAGAAAATGTACATATGAAGAAAAACATTTTAACACTTCATGTTGACTGTAATTTTGTTTTGTATGTTGCACCAAAAGACCTGATATTGAATGAAACTTCTGTTAGCTTTGTTTTGAATAGAGGATGATATCCTGGACATCAGTGATGCAGACACTGATTCAAACTGAACTGCTTTCTTCTTAGCTGTTGACCTCTGTTTCTTTCATTTGAATTCAAAATCGAGCTTTTGGGTGTGAAATTTGTTATCTCACAGTGTGTCACACATTATCTTTACAGTTGTCAAACTCTGAAATTGTCATGACAACTCTGGGAAGCTCTTACTATTATTATCCCCATTGTCCCCATTTTACACCCAGGAAAACTGAAATACAGAGAGGTGAAATAACTTGACCAAGAACATTTTGCTGAGAAGGTCAACCCTCAGGTTTATGCCCAGATCTGACTGACTCCAAATCCAGCATCATTTCCATGACACTTGTTGTCCTACTTATGCCCCTTCACCTATTTATATCCTAACTCAACTTCTCTTCCTCCCTTCTTCTGCCCCTTCTATGCAGGCCCGTGACCTAGGTGTAGACTAAGAAGTGGAGTCATGCTTCACACGGCCATATCATGCTGGCAGCCATTCCTGGGTCTGGCTGTGGTGTTAATCTTCATGGGATCCACCATTGGCTGCCCTGCTCGCTGTGAGTGCTCTGCTCAGAACAAATCTGTTAGCTGTCACAGAAGGCGGTTGATCGCCATCCCAGAGGGCATTCCCATTGAAACCAAAATCTTGGACCTCAGTAAAAACAGGCTAAAAAGTGTCAACCCTGAAGAATTCATATCATATCCTCTGCTGGAAGAAATAGACTTGAGTGACAACATCATTGCCAATGTGGAACCCGGAGCATTCAACAATCTCTTTAACCTGCGTTCCCTCCGCCTAAAAGGCAATCGTCTGAAGTTAGTCCCGTTAGGGGTATTCACGGGGTTGTCCAATCTCACCAAGCTCGACATTAGTGAGAATAAGATTGTCATTTTACTAGACTACATGTTCCAGGATCTACATAACCTGAAGTCTCTAGAAGTGGGGGACAATGATTTGGTTTATATATCACACAGGGCATTCAGTGGGCTACTTAGCTTAGAGCAGCTCACTCTGGAGAAATGCAACTTAACAGCAGTACCAACAGAAGCCCTATCCCACCTCCGCAGCCTCATCAGCCTGCATCTGAAACATCTCAATATCAACAATATGCCCGTGTATGCCTTTAAAAGACTGTTCCACCTGAAACACCTAGAGATTGACTATTGGCCTTTACTGGATATGATGCCTGCCAATAGCCTTTACGGTCTCAACCTCACATCCCTTTCAATCACCAACACAAATCTGTCTACCGTACCTTTCCTCGCCTTTAAACACCTGGTATACCTGACTCACCTTAACCTCTCCTACAATCCCATCAGCACTATTGAAGCAGGCATGTTCTCTGACCTGATCCGCCTTCAGGAGCTTCATATAGTGGGGGCCCAGCTCCGCACCATTGAACCTCACTCCTTCCAAGGGCTCCACTTCCTACGCGTGCTCAACGTGTCTCAGAACCTGCTGGAAACTTTGGAAGAGAATGTCTTCTCTTCCCCTAGGGCTCTGGAGGTCCTGAGCATTAACAACAACCCTCTGGCCTGTGACTGCCGCCTTCTCTGGATCTTGCAGCGACAGCCCACCCTGCAGTTTGGTGGCCAGCAACCCATGTGTGCTGGCCCAGACACCATTCGTGAGAGGTCATTCAAGGATTTCCATAGCACTGCCCTTTCTTTTTACTTTACCTGCAAAAAACCCAAAATCCGTGAAAAGAAGTTGCAGCATCTGCTAGTAGATGAAGGGCAGACAGTCCAGCTAGAATGCAATGCGGATGGAGACCCACAGCCTGTGATTTCCTGGGTGACACCCCGAAGGCGTTTCATCACCACCAAGTCCAATGGAAGAGCCACTGTATTGGCAGACGGCACCTTGGAAATTCGCTTTGCCCAGGATCAAGACAGTGGGATGTATGTTTGCATCGCTAGCAATGCTGCTGGGAATGACACCTTCACAGCCTCCTTAACTGTGAAAGGATTTGCTTCAGATCGCTTTCTTTATGCGAACAGGACCCCTATGTACATGACCGACTCCAATGACACCATTTCCAATGGCACTAATGCCAATACATTTTCCTTGGACCTTAAAACAATACTGGTATCAACAGCTATGGGCTGCTTCACTTTCCTGGGAGTGGTTTTATTTTGTTTTCTTCTCCTTTTTGTGTGGAGCCGAGGGAAAGGCAAGCACAAAAACAGCATTGACCTTGAGTATGTGCCCAGAAAAAACAATGGTGCTGTTGTGGAAGGGGAGGTAGCTGGACCCAGGAGGTTCAACATGAAAATGATTTGAGGGCCCACCCCTCACACTACTGTCTCTTTGTCAATGTTGGTAATCAGTAAGACAGTATGACACAGGACTAGATTAAGAGGCAGCCGTGTGCAGCTGCCCCTGTGTCAAAAGCAGGGTCTATGGAAGCAGGAGGACTTCCAATGGAGACTCTCCATCGAAAGGCAGGCAGGCATGTGTCAGAGCCCTCCACACAGTGGGATACTAAATGTTTGCATTGCAAATATTGGCATTCTGGGGATCTCAGTAATGAAACTGAATCTTTGGCTCACACTCACGGACAAGTATTCAGCATTTTCTACCACTGCAAAAACAAAAGAAAAAATAAAAAAGAACAACCTACAGTGTAGGATTTACATATTAAAAAGACACATTGGTCTAAAACATACTCTACAGAAAAATTTGTATCTATGATTATCATTTGTTAAAGCCTTGCATCATACCATATTGCTGGTTCAGCACCACAAAGAGATCAATATATTCTTTTCTTTTTTTTGAAACATATATGCTGTACATGTTTTAAAGCAATATGAATGAGAGGTTGTGCTTTCAGTTACTCACCACTATAGATCCAAGTGTGATTTCACCTTCCATTACCGACAGATGACCCTGAGACTAGATCCCTGGAGTTCTGGGCAGAGACATCTTGAGAGATGTGTTTGTCAGATGTAGGATGCCAAGAAACAGGACCCAAGGCAAAACTGCTCAACTCTGTTAACTTCTGTTACTATAAATAAAGGCATGTGCCTAGTTTTGATACAGAATGGAATATTTTTTATACTTGTAATATCACACTGGACCAGATTTGTTACTGTAACAAAGCCCTTGGTTTCTCCAGAAGGTGGTGCACCACTAGATGTACCTGTAAAATGCAAGGTAGGTGTTAATAATGAAAATGATCCATTTAATCACTCCTTGATCTTACTTTCCACAGTCTCTACTAGCAGGTTAATAGAAAATGGAAGAAGAGGTAATGGTTACAAAGCACCATAGGATAATAGTCACCAGGAGCTAAGATCAATAATTCATATTTCAAAGGCTCTCTGAATAAGAGAGTTCTCAGATGCCAACACAGGGTGATACATACATAACATGATATTAAGGAAAACAAGGATCTCTTTAAAACACGATAGCTGCCTGTGTGCTATATTGCTGCTAGTGAAGAGAATACCTAGCTTCTGCCACTCTGATGTTCTCTATTTGAATACTGTACACACAGTATTACCTTGAATAGACAACTTCAGGGTTTCTTCCTGCTTCCTTACCAATTAGATTTTGGGTTTCACTCTGAAAATTATCTTGTGTAGAAAAGAGGAATTTGTCTTGTTTTTTAAGAACTGAGGAAAAACAAGATGAATTAAAAAAATTAACTGATTTTTGCTTCTCCACTGAGGAAAAAGCAAGATTATAGCCCTATAAATATGTTAAGTTGTGCTGATTTCTTTTCTCTTTCTCTGACCCAAGGATATTTGTCCACTTCACTTTGTATTAATGACTGTTACCCAAAGTTAAACATTCCAATTTTTAAAAACTGGTCATGCCATGACCACCAGTGATCTGGTTCAATGGAGGCATAGATTCATTTAGCTAAATATTCAGTGAATGACTTTCAAAGCATATGGTTATATGATCTGAGAAAGCATTGAATGTGGACTGTGTTCATGAAATGTCACATATTTAATCAGCATAGAACTGGTAGGAAATATCTAGGTCACATTTTGAATAACATGTAAGCTGGACTAGTAGGTCTCTGGGGTTTGCTTCTTGACATATTGGATTGGTGGGTTGATATTCAAAAGGCTGGCTTTTTTTAGTTTGAAATTTGAAATTTTGAGGAACTTTAATAAAATTAAATCAAACCCAGTAAAAATAGGACAAGCCCAGAAATTGTTTTGCCAATCAGATAGCAACAGTTAAACCCATTTCTCCCTTCATAAAAGGTGGAAAATACAATGAAAGATTAAAGAATTGCCTGTCCAATTCATTTTTCATGTGACTTTTCTGATGATTATCATAGATCTTTCAGAATTTTATTTCCCATTTTTGCCAAATACCTTATTTATATCAAACAATGCAAATCAAGCTCTGCTGCAAACTCTATCACAAATCCAACTTGTGTGCCAATGGAATGGGGCCTTTAAAATTTTTAAATTAACAAAGTTAAAGTAGAGATTTCCAAAAACCTTCAAAAAGTGAATAGAAGCTACTTTATCTTTATTTTGCAGCACTGTGTGAAGTAGTATTCAACTAATTGTCAAAAAAGAAAGAGAAACCTTGAGCAATTAATAAAAAGGCTTTGTGTTTCTGATGGCCCTTTTGTCAAAACAAAAGTTGGCCAAAAACAGCTGAGTAAAATGAAATTGGATTAAAATGTACCCATCCATAAAAAAGATTTAGCTATTATTCATTCCATTGGAAGGAAAGAGATTGGATTTTCTCAGAGGTCCCATACTCTGATCTATTGAACAATATTTATTTAAGATATTTCTAAGCATTTTTCCAAAAAGAGTCCTGTTGACCAATATATTGGGGAAATGCATTCTGTAACCACCTTTAGAGATTCAAAGTCTATATGAGCCTAATAAATCCTCTGAAAAGTCCTGTAAACAAGAATCCTGTATAATATTGTTTTTTGGTGGGGGGGGCTTCACTAATTTATATGAGCTGAAAGCACTTTCTGTCATGCTGTAACTGTTAAGATTTTCAAAAACTAAAGCTCCACAGAACCCAGACTGGTCAACTTTAGACTAGAGTAGTACTCTTCTGAAGTATTCCTAAACCTAATGTTTCTAATAAGAGTAAAAATACTGTTTGAATTGGCCTTCAATAGATTACAAAAAAAAATTATCTGTGTCAGTGCTCAGATCATAAAAGTATGTTGAGCAGATATTTCTGGGGCAATTGGCTACTTTTTCCCTGAAGCATCCATCATAGTAATGGATCAACAGGTGATTAAATGGACGTTCAATTTTCTACACCCTCACTGTTAGAGCAGATCTTGGGGTCCTTTTTGTGTCTGCAAAGCTCTTGTATCCAAACACTGGTGCTTTAGTACTCAGTTTCACAAAGGGATTCATGAATTTTCCCTTATGGCTTCTGATAACCTCTTTGTTATATCAACTAGAGCATGGTAGAGCATAACAGCTCATACCAGCACATGGTTCAAATTATTTGCTTAAATATGACATCTCTGAGTCATTTTCTTCCCTGAGGCTTTGTTTCAAAGTATCCCCGGAAGAAATACAGTTGTTTGGCCCAGCATGTCATTCCAGTTGGTTTTCATTCCACTCTGGTTTTGCTCAACCTTCTCAGAAATTTTGCTTATTACTGACAACTCCCTTAGTAGGAAAAACACATTCAGAAGTTGCTCTACAGTATTTAGGATGGATTTTTTTTTTCATTGTTCTGTCAAATAGTTTGTACTCCTCAGTTGTTACAGGAGTCCAGAAGTTGCAGTCTTCTGCAACTTTTTAAAAAAGAATTATTTAAATGTCATTTGCATTGAAGTCTGACTTTTGTCACTTTACTCTGGTACAAACACATGCATTTTTATATCAGAGGTACAAAAGGGAGGCGGCGATCTTGGAGAAATAAAATTTAGTTGAGTCCCATGTAAACTAACTTACACTTCCAGGCTCTCTCTTCATCTCTGTGTCCAGACATTTGTTTTAACTTCAGGGGATGTGCTCAGAAGCTGTTCAACAACACTGAATATGTCTTCAGGGTTTCTAGAAAAGAAGAAAGAACTACATAATTTTCAGCTTAGAAGTCTAAGACCAAATATAAACATATATCAAGAACTTAAAGAAGGTTCGAGGGGGACACTTGAACCCATTTTAATCCTGTTTTCTTTATTGCCAGTTTTTATACTTATTATCTCCTACTTGAAGAAGAATCAGAGATTATGTTCTTCCTTGACTTTCAATGATGTCCTTTTTATACCTTTTTTCTATGACCCAGTCACCTATAGCTCACATGAGCTATTAAATGGATTTTGTGGCATCTGGATCTAGTAACAAAACCTTTGGGACCAAAGCCATTCATTCTACTTGGCACTTAGGTAAAGATTATTATCTCTATTACTATAATTAACATTCATTGTTTGTTAGACTCATACATCATGTGCCTGGTTATTTTCCATCATTGGCTTTGGGAGCTACATTCAATTCCTTTCAGCTAAAACCCTTGATATTTTCTGATTGAGGAGTTTGGGAATTATTCTGCCTTTGGGTGTAGAAAGCATTGAGGAATGAAATGTTATTTGACTTGTTGATTTTTTGAATTTCCTATTTTGGTTAGTCAACAGAGGGTGTTTCCTTGTACTTTGGCAAACACTTGATAGGAATCTCTCAGTGATGTTCCCCTTTTCCCCATCAGACGCCATTCCCAAAAGAGCCTTCTCATTTACACTCCAGCTGGGAAAGGACAGCTTTACAGCATAGGTCTACAAGATGAAATGATAACTGAGTGCTGTGATCTTTAGTCCATTCACCTAATAAACACTGGGTCCAGGGGCCATATGTCTAGGCTTGCAAAGTTTAGCCAGGTAAACAATGTTTTAAATCAACAATTAATGACAGATTTTCGACTCTCAAGTTCATTTGTCTGTTTGGAGAATAGTAAGTGTAACTGCATGTTTTCTCAAAAAATGGTAGGGACTAGAACTTCCTTATCTTGCATGAGATTTTTAACAGATGGCCTGGGATAAAATGTTTCCAACAACAACAACAAAAGATATAATTAAGATATTTGTAAAAGGATTATTTTTCTAAAATAGGACTGGGACTGATGCTCCTCTTTCCAAATTTGGGAGTTTCATCATGACAAGCTTGCCTGTGCCCTAGACTGCCCTTTTCAAGTTTATCAAGGTCTTTAATACATCTTCTCCCTCCCTGACCCCCTTTCTCCCTGGAGAACATCTTGAATAGGAAGGAGAAAAAGAGCAGAACTAACCTCCCCTGAGACAGCCTACAGAAGGAGAAAAGCACTGGTATTCCCCCACATTGACTACTTTCCTGATGCAGCAACTGAAATGATCCTTCACTCTCCTCCTCTGCCTACTCACCACTGTCACTTCTCAGCTGCTGCCATGCCTCATCAATGAATGCTCTCTCCAGGGATAAGTCTTCTTTCATTGGTAACTGAGATTCTTGGGTAATTGTTAAACTGGAAATTGCTTTAAAAAAAAACCCTCCAGCTATCTCACATAACACTTTAAAAGTTAAGACTTACCATTCACATAATCACAAGCTGACAGCAATCTGCAGGTTGAGTGATTCTGATTTTTTTCCTCTCTCTCTTCCAGAAGCAGGTGGGTTGATATAATGCCAGCCTTAAATAGAAAGCTTTATTTATAGCCTTAGCAGAATGAGTAAAGAACTGGCATAATCAAGAGAGCACTTCACATTTTAAAGAAGGCTTAATCTTTAATATGCAAACTAGTCATTAGAAGACAACAAAAAATGCAAATTTATGTTTTACTAAATTGCTTAACTAAATTAATTCTGATAAAGTTCAAAAGATAACTGTCCATACTGAAGATGGGTCAAATACTTTATGCCTGTTCTAAAAGGACCCAAAAGAAAGCAGAAATTTGATTGCCATGTTAACTTACTTTATTTTGTTGCATACCTCCTATTCTAAGTTGCTTTAATATCTTTAATCTACACTGCAATATATACAATAAAATCAACAATATAATATAATCAAATAATAATTATACTGGAGATTAATTCAGACTTGAAAAAAAATTTCATTCTTTACAAGGTATGTCCAGCAGCAAATTGACTTATATACATATCTGTGTGATAACAAGAGACTGGAATTGAATCATGAACAAACTTTGTATAGAGGCTATTTGGAAGAAAACATGCTCTTTTTCTCCCCAGTTATAAAATCAGGTATATCATAAACACCTGAGTTGCTTCATACACAAGACAGTTGTCTTCACATTTTTTCCATACGGTATAGAATGCCCCAAATCATAATTAATTTAAAAGCTACTGTTTATATATACAGATATAAATATGTGGGGAAGGGCGGTTTGATTTTTTTGTGTTTATAACTGTTTTAAAAGTTGATAAGCTTGAGCAGGAGTAAAAGAAAGAAACAGAATGTCTATCTGTGTTTTCCCTTAATGTCTTTTATCAAAAATCCTATTTTGAGACTATCTCATGATTGAAAGTTAATAACCAACCACCTAACAAAATTTTTTCTAAATATGCCTGATAGTTTGTTTTTGTTTTCAAAAATTTAATCTTAATGACAAGAGTATCTTGACTAAGTTTTGCATCTCATTAGCTATTATTGCTTAATTGTTGTGGGCATGTTTTTTTAACATGTAAAAACTAGTTAACTTATTTTATAACATGTAAAATAAGTTAAGAAAACATGTTTTCTTTGCTGATGAAAGGGCTTAAGCAGCTGACATCTCAGTTAAACTCATTGAGGTTTTAATATGAAATGCAATGCAAGACAATTGGAGTCATATAAAAACATTTTCTTATTGAGAAAATTAGGTTATATGTGGTCTCACAGGGAATGTGAGGTAGCACTGTATTAATCAGCAACCTGCCATACTGTCAGAGCCAAAGCAGGTCCAGTGGCAACTCATTCAAATGCTAAGGTGAATGGAGACAAACAACTCAGAGAGGAATCAAAATACAGGCTATCCAGCTACAGACGGGTCATAGTTCAACCTGCTGGGTATCCAAGTTTATGTAATATCAACCACACTCTAAATATATTCTTCTTCAATGGAGCTAAATCATGTATCACTTGCAAAATTATCCCAAATTCATTTGACTTAATTACATAAGCAAGTAATGGGCATAACTTAAGGCATGAAATCTGAGCACAAACTGAAGGGTTCAGTAAGCCATACATACACCATCACCATCTAGTTTTTATTTCTTAGCCTTCACTCAGCCAAATGATTCAAAACATTGTGTCAGGTAGGACAGCCCAAAAAAATTAAAAAGAGAAACATCTTCAGTCTTCAAGCAAATTGAAACAAAGGAAAGAGAAAATTGTCTAGTGTTAAAGAGGAAATGAATTGAAAATTTAGAAACTCCTCTTGGGCTGAGAGTGAAGGTGCTGGCTTTACCTTTTGTACTTGAGCCACTGGGCTTCAGGGAGATGTGTTCAGGTAGGTGTCATCATCTAGGATATCATCTTCACTCTCTGTGGCTCATTAGATGACTTCGAGTGAAGGAGGAGGTGAAGGAAGCAGAAAGCTGACAATAATGGTACCTGGAAGTCACATTGTTAGATAACAAGAAATTAGGTTTCACCTCCAGGAAGCAACAAACACACAAATACTAAGACCGTTAGCTAAAATTCAGAAAAGGTCCCTTTGCTATTTATTGTGTTTTGTTTGTTGTTGTTGTTGTTGTTGTTGTTGTTGTTGCTTGAGACAGAGTCTCACTCTGTCGCCAGGCTAGAGTACAATGGCGTGAACTCGGCTCACTGCAACCTCTGCCACCCAGGTTCCAGTGATTCTCTTCCCTCAGCCTCCGGAGTACCTGAGATTACAGGTGCCCACCACACCTGGCTAATTTTTGTATTTTTTTTTAGTAGAGATGAGGCTTCACCATGTTGGCCAGGATGGCCTCAATCTCCTGACCTGGTGATCCTCCCGCCTCTGCCTCCCAAAGTGCTGGAATTACAGGCATGAGCCCCTGTGCCTAGCCTGCTATTCTTTAATTGCAAAATGAAGAGCGTTCCCCTAGAGAGAGAATTTCTTCTTGAAAATTTTCTGCTAATACCAGAGCTGCTGTGGTCAGAGTCACATATCTAACAGTGGGCTTTTATTTTATGCTGCTAAACCAGTATGACAGAAACAAAGAGCCATTTCCCATGAACATAGTTTTGAATGTGTTGGATATACATCTCTGCCAATTAATATTAGGAGTTGTCCAGTAAACTCAGCAATCAGGGAGAAGATGGTCCCAATACTTCAGGACTTGTACTTAAACAATGGGAAGAAGATAATATAATGGAGTCAAAGCTATACTCAGTGGCCTGGCTTCTGGCTCTGCACTTGACAGATTTTCTGGTCATGTATTACTTCATAAATTTAGAAGGTCGTCATAGTTTTGTGTTACTGTTTGTTTGGTTTCTTCTTTCTCTCATTTTCCTCTGTCATTAGCATACTGCCCTTGCTAGATGGCTGTCAGTGTTTTTGTGTTGTTTAATACAGTCAAAATAAAAATTAGGAGTTTCTACCTACTCCCTTTAAGGCAGATAAGCTTACTGTACAACCCTATATTCCTTTCTTAATTACTTCAATATCAGACCTAAAACACAGGAGGTGAAGATTCATGCAGAATAAAGCAAAGTTAAGGAGAAAATTGAGAAACCTGAGGGGAAATTTACCTACTATTTCTGCCACTGATTGGTGGAAAATCTGAAAACACTGGCTTCTAGGGCTTGTCACACTGGTGCCTTTCATCAACTCTTATAAATAACTAAATGCAAAAATTATGACCCTCTATCAAAAAAAATGGATTGGGAAGGAGATCCCTTATTATAGCTATGCAGGAATGGTTTTATTCCATCATATTGTCATTGGTAAATCAGGACATACCAATAAATCTCTCAAAATAGTATATGTATTTTAATGGCAGAATGACACATTTATACATATATATTACTAAGAACCATCTGGAGAAAAGAAAAAAGATAAGGCAGATCGAAAACATGTGGATTCTCACTCTTCTGTTTGGCTGCTAATAAAGAAAACTGAGAACTCACGTGAATCACCGACGTGTCAGTCTCAGAGCTGAAAACCCAAGGAGTCTCTACAAAAATAACAGACTGCTAGAGAGGATACCGCTTTGATTGAAATACCTAAATCTTTCATGTGATTGTAAAAGCTGTATCTATAGTGAATAATTTTGTATTGTCACATGTGGAGATAAATTTGATTACTAGATCCCCATCTAAGGCAGAAGTGACGTTGTCATATTGGTAGATAAATGTGTTTGCCTGATCACCATCCAAGGCAGAAGTAGCATTTATGTGAACCCTTTTCTAACTACAGCATCGCTATCCATATTATTTCCAAGCACAAGAGCTCAGGTATGCTGGAACCATAGCACAGAGGCGATTCACTACATCTAGTCTATTCCTGTAGCCATGGGCTATTAGCTGGATGTACAAAAGACTAATAAGTTACATCCATTCTATACATGCAGGGCTCTCAGAAAAGTTAAACCAACACTTCTTCAAACCTGCATACACAAATCCATACTGTGGCATCCAGAGTTTCTTTAAGCCTCATGCTGTATTAGTACAAACATCCAACAGGGAATTAATTCACTGAGCGCAGAATAAATGTGTAATGCAAAGAGATTACCAAGTCTGCTCCACCACCTTGATTTATATAAGCTCTTCTATTTTAGCAACACCTGGAGAATCCAGTGGTCTATGCTTCAACAGTCTCAAGAGCCCTTCATGGCTCTGCTGTAAGAAAGTTGCTGGCTTTAATGCAAGGCTGGTTCCAATATAGGGCAGTTGTTTTCTGCTGTGAGTCTTTGGGGGGAAAAAAAATAGGTTCATCGAAATTGAAAGTAACTGACAAATGTATCCTGGCTGGTGAGTCTAGGGAGAGTAGTTCATTGTTCAGGTAGTTCAATATATTTTCAAAAGAGCATTTTATACAAATTGAAGAACACAAGCATTTCAAATAAATGGCAGTGATCATATAAGCATAAGTAAGATTGCAGAGGAAAATGGGTGATGTTTGTGCATATCACACTGCCTCAAATATTGATCTGGAGTTCTTTTCCAAATTGATAAGAAAATACATTCTATATTGAAAATGATTTTCAATATCTTTTAAATATGGCCAATAATTAGCTTAAATAAATGCCCAGAGAATATTCACAAATCTACTCAGTTCTCTCCTTCTCATCCTTGATTAGAAGTTAAAAATCAGATTCCTCTGGCTTTGTTTTAAAAGATAAAGAAAATTTAGTTTTCCACTTATCCAAGCACAATCTCCTTTCATTTATTTACTCATTTACTTAATTATGCAACATCTACTGAGTATCCATTATCATAGGAATTGAGCAGCCCATCACTGAAGTCATCACCAAACTGTGATTCAAACATTAATCCTGTGTTTCTTCACCTTAACTCCTTTGGCTTCCATATTGATTGCAACCTGTGTCTCATTCTAACATCTAAATCATGTGGTTTAGAGACAGGCCCTACTGTCCACCAGGCCAGGCACAACCCTGGCATTAAGGACCTACCTGCTTTAATGATCCACTCTCAGGGAGTCAGAACAGTTAAATGCTAAAAAGACAAGGATCTGGAGTAAGAGTCCCTAGGGCTGTGTCACTGGATTCATGTTTCTTTATGGGCAAGCTACTTGACATCTCTGCATCCCCATCTCTCAAAATAACCATAACACTACCTACCTCACAAGGGTGCTGTGAGGCTTACCATGAAAAGCATGAGGAAATGGTATGTAGAATTGGGGACCTAGTAGAAAGGTGCTACAGGATTACAGTAAGAAGATGTCATTGAGTATGAACCCCGCTTTCCCTAGGAGCCCCAGTCTGCCAGAATATGTCTAACCTCTTTACAACTAGAATCTAAAAGGGTGTTGGCCATGGATTGGTTTGGTTTATCGTTAATGTAATTGACTTTTACAAAATTCATAACAACACCCTCTTTCTTGGAGAGATGCTGGATTGAAGAAATTATTAAATTAATTTTAACAAAGAAGAACGAAAATGATTCACTTCCAGGTGCCGGGTGTGAAAGAACAGTTATTTATTTCAATAGGAAACAAGAATTTGAATGGGTATCTTCAAGGGGATGCATTTTATTGGAGACATTTATTGCCTGGGGCTTTCTGTTTTCAGTCTGACTCCCAGCTTTCTGTATCATTATTTTAGCATACATCCCCTTTTCTCCTTTATTGGAATAGAAGCTGTAATTCTCATTTCATGATAATTCTTTTCATTGTCTTTTTTGCTCAAAGGACAAATTCTTTTCAACAACTATTGTAATTATTTTCTTAGAGGGCCATTTTTAATTGCCATATTGTTTAGCTAAGCCTGATTGTCTTGGTGTCCTTCAAAACTGTCAGTTGCTTTAAAATATAGGGGTGGGAGGGGGAGCTGATAAGCACATTGTTGTAATTGATTTGTATGTTTGAATTGTCTTATCAGAAAACAAGGTTATGAATTTCATCAGTTGAGACACAAAAATAAAATACTTTCTTAAAAAACTGTATTTTGTTCTTGAATGTTCTAAAACAGCATTTATGCTTTTCTTCTTTTAAAATTTCATTAATAGTGTTACTTTATTAATCATATGATAGAAGCCTACCCTTCTCCTATATCTATTGTTATAGCCCAGTCCTTTACTCTAACTTGGGAAACAGTATAATAAAGTTATTCAACATGTAGAATCGAAGCAAATCATGAAGAGCCCATTCTGAGGGGGTCTGCATTTAAAGGCTGACCATGGAATTACACTGAGACAGATAGATGGCTGTGAAAACAGGACGTTCAAGGCCCACTTATCCAATGAAAAGTATCGCTGCAAGTGATGGGAAAGGGCCAGAGATATTATTTCTGTCAGTCAAGAAACTAAGAAATGAGATGAAAATAACAGAGCTTCGTTTTGTTTTTTTTTTTTAAGTCCTCTGGTTCAAGATTTTGCCACAGTCATTTAGAGAAACTTAAAAACAAAATAAAATATCACTGGTGTCTAGTCAGTTCTGGCTGCCATAGAATACCACAGACTTGGACACTGCAAAGTCTAAGGTCAAGGTGCCAGCAGAGTTGGTATCTAGTATCTAGTAAGGGCTCTCTCCTTGGTTGGCAGATAACCACCATCTCTGTCCTCACATCTTCTTCAGTGCAGGGAGAGAGGGAGACAGAGATAGAGAAAAAAAGAGATTCCTTTTTAATAAGGCCACCAATTCTATTGAATTAGCAGCCTACGTTGATGACCTCATTTAACCATAATTACTCTCCTAAAAACCCTATTTCAAAATACAGTCACATTGGGGTTAGGAATTCAGTGTATGAATTTGAGCGGGACAATTCAGTTCACAGCCCTTTGCTTCTGCACGTTGATCAAAATGCCACACCATCTTTCTTTACCATGGGTAGGAAGGATGTTATGTATGAGGAAGGCAAGTTAGGAAAGTCAACATAAGCAAGCAAATATGGCACAGAAAAGGATTTCAACAACTAGTAAATATCCCTGTCTTTATTT